CTTGAAAGGGTCTATGCCGAGTGCCCCAAACCCAGCTCGTTGAGGAGGCAGCAGCTCATTAGGGAATGCCCCATTCTTTCCAACATCGAGCCCAAGCAGATCAAAGTCTGGTTTCAAAATCGCAGGTTGGTCACGGTTTCCCGTTAGATTTTTGCAATTGTTATCATCAGCTGCTCAAAGTTGGCATCTCTTTTGGGTACTTCAATTGCGGGCTAGATCATAGCTTCTTGAGCAAAGGCATGGTCTTTTGCAAGTAGGTTTAGGTTTGTTTACTCGATTTGTGTACTTAGCTGCTCAAAGTTTGAATATTTTCTTGTTTGGGTGTTAAATTGTGTAATTATATCACAGTTTTATGAAATGGGGTTGTGGTGGTTTTTGGGAAGGTGTCGGGAGAAGCAGCGGAAAGAGTCTTCGAGGCTGCAGACTGTGAACCGGAAATTGTCGGCGATGAATAAGCTGTTGATGGAGGAGAATGATAGGTTGCAGAAACAGGTGTCGCAGCTTGTATGCGAAAATGCCTACATGCGGCAACAACTGCAGGCTGTCAATGTACGTTCTCCATTTCTTGTGTAATGCTTACTACTTGATTGGATCTTGAATTGTTGATATTCTGTAATTCCTTCTGTACTGAAATACTTTGATGCTGCGGATATTCCTATCATTATCTGCAAATACTTGAAGCATATGTTAGCGGTTAGTACATGAGCAAAAAAGAGGAAGTGGTTGTGGGTCCAAATGTGCTATGAGTATAGATAGATGTACTCACAAAGTGTTAGTGGTGTTGGTCTAGGCTCTAGCTGATTATTAGATGGATGTTTCTTGTATTGCAGGCAATTTGAATGAGTGTTCTTTAGGAACTTATCCTTTTTTTTCCTTCTTTATTCTGTTTCTGCTTTTGTTATGTTGTTGCTTTTCTTTCCAATATGGGAATTTGGTGTGTAGTTCGGCTGAAATTGATTCTTACACCTTTGTTTGTCTTGCTGACTGGCCATATATGGATAAATGCCTACTTTCTTTTTACTTGTATTTACTTTCTTTGTCGTTTGATTTTGGTTATCTTTGAATGGATGCTTGTGCAGGGGTCGGCAGCAACTGATGGAAGTTGTGACTCTGTGGTAACCACTCCTCAGCATTCACTCAGAGATGCCAATAACCCTGCTGGGTAGTTACCCTAACTTATGTCCTGCGCCTGCTTTTTGGTTGCGCAATTATAATAGTGTTAAGATCTAAAGATTATTTTTCTCTATGTTTTCTTCAGACTCCTCTCCATTGCGGAGGAGACCTTGACAGAGTTCCTATCAAAGGCTACAGGAACTGCTGTCGATTGGGTCCAGATGCCTGGGATGAAGGTGTTTACACTTGTTTGCCTCAAACTCTATTCAATTTTGTTTTTGGATTGTGTTCGTCATGATATATAGTAATATTTGTGTTATGATTCAGCCTGGTCCGGATTCGGTTGGGATCTTTGCCATTTCGCAAAGTTGTGGTGGAGTGGCAGCTCGAGCTTGTGGTCTTGTGAGCTTAGAACCAACGAAGGTATACTCATCAGTCACCACATCTTTGCTACTCATTAGCTCTGTGTTATATTGTCTTTGGGGCGTTATGGAACTGTAGAAAATGACATGGAATAACACACTTCTTCACAGATAGCAGAGATACTTAAAGATCGTCCATCTTGGTTTCGGGACTGTCGGAGCACTGAAGTGTTTACCATGTTTCCAGCTGGAAATGGTGGAACTATTGAACTTGTTTACAGTCAGGTGAATGTCTTGATTCCTTGTGCTCTATTACCTGATCTCTATTTTCATCCCCTTGAAGTGGACCTTATTGAAATTTGTTTCAGACGTACGCTCCTACAACCCTGGCTCCTGCACGGGATTTCTGGACACTCAGATATACTAAAACTTTAGAGAATGGCAGTCTTGTGGTATGCTTGTTTTTCTATGACTTCTTTCAATCTGTTGCAATTTTATTTTATAGTTCCAGCTTGCTAAAGACGACTTTCTTGGTGTTTTCTCTTATTGGCTTTTTGTTCTAGATCTGCGAGAGGTCTCTTTCTGGATCTGGTGCTGGTCCAAGTGTTTCTGCAGCTTCTCAGTTTGTCAGAGCAGAAACGCTTCCAAGTGGCTATCTGATACGGCCTTGTGAGGGGGGAGGGTCAATCATACACATTGTTGATCATCTGAACCTTGAGGTATAAGAAACTTCAATATTAATTACTTTAGGCAGTTTATGCCAAGGATGTACTCAAATAGCACTTAAACCATGCAGGCTTGGAGTGTTCCCGAAGTGCTTCGACCTCTATACGAATCATCAAAAGTTGTTGCGCAAAAAATTACAATTGCAGTAAGCACATTATGATGGATTCCATATCTTTTCCAGCAACACTCTATCCTTTAGAAGTTTCTGATTTGATTGGCTTTTGTGAAGGCACTACGGTATGTAAGGCAAATAGCTCAAGAGACCAGTGGCGAGGTGGTGTATGGTCTGGGCAGGCAGCCAGCTGTACTGAGAACTTTCAGCCAAAGATTGAGCAGGTAGCTTGGGACGAATCTTGATTGTGCAGTAACAATTCAGCAGGTCATTAGATTTCTGTATGACCTTTTTTCTTAAAACTTTTTCAGAGGATTTAATGATGCAGTCAATGGGTTCAATGATGATGGATGGTCTGTGATGCCATGTGATGGAGCTGAAGATGTCATCATTTCAGTTAATTCAACCAAGAATTTGACCAGCACTTCTAATCCTGCCAACTCCTTTGCATTCCTTGGAGGGATCCTTTGTGCCAAGGCTTCCATGCTGTTGCAAGTAAGTTCAAAGATGTCTAGTTGATGGTAGTCATGTCTGAATGGCTGAAAGTCTACGTCTTTGGCATGAAAATTGAGTATGTGATCTTGTTGTCGGCAGAATGTCCCTCCTGCAGTTTTGGTACGCTTCCTGAGGGAGCACCGTTCAGAATGGGCTGATTTCAATGTGGATGCCTATTCTGCCGCCTCGCTAAAGTCTGGTTCGTATGCATATCCAGGAATGAGGCCTACAAGGTTTACAGGGAGCCAAATAATCATGCCACTTGGTCACACTATAGAGAATGAGGAGGTACGTAATCTCCTTTGGTAGTTCTGTAATCTGAATTTGCTGGATAGCCTCCACACTGGAGTCATCCCTTTCATTGGAGAGTGCCACTTTTGAACAAGATGCTAGTTAAATAATATGACTAAACAAAACCATCTCATTATTGGTGCTGAAATGTATCTTGTCCCAGATGCTTGAAGTTATCCGACTAGAAGGTCATTCTCTAGTTCAAGAAGATGCCTTCGTTTCGAGAGACATTCATCTCTTACAGGTATTATGTGTTGTGGTTTTCTGTGGAGACTTTTGCAAGCGAGACAAATGTTGTGACTTCACTATTTTGGTTTGAAGTGCTTTACATGTTCTTAGAGAGTAACAAAAGAGGGTTATTTCTTCCGCAGATTTGCAGTGGAATTGATGAAAATGCAGTTGGAGCTTGTTCAGAACTTGTTTTTGCTCCAATTGATGAAATGTTCCCTGATGACGCCCCATTACTCCCATCCGGTTTTCGTGTCATCCCATTGGATTCAAAAGCAGTAAGTGCTTTGGGAGCGCCTCAAAATCCTCGACTTTGACGTTGCATATCAAACTATATTGCTAAATGTATGATATGGTTACTGTGTGCAGAAGGATACTCAGGATGCCTTGAATGCAAATCGTACTCTAGATCTAACGTCAAGCCTTGAAGTGGGTCCTGCAACAAATCCTTCTGCTCCGGATGCTTCATCATCTAGTCAAAATTTGCGATCAGTGTTGACCATCGCCTTCCAGTTCCCATACGAGAGCAACCTGCAGGAAAATGTTGCCACCATGGCAAGGCAGTATGTCAGAAGTGTAATATCGTCTGTTCAGAGGGTTGCCATGGCCATATCCCCATCAGGATTGAGCCCTTCCTTGGGGCCCAAGCTATCCCCTGGCTCTCCTGAAGCCCTTACCCTTGCTCAGTGGATCTGTCAATCTTACAGGTATGCTCCAAATTCAAATTTGGCTTCTTAGAAGAACCATGAAACTGTTGTCTTATCTTTTTCATTCCTCTCTTCCTCAGTTACTATACAGGAGGAGAGTTGCTGAGTTCTGATGATTCTTCAAGTGGAGGAGACTCGGTGTTGAAAAGTCTGTGGCATCATCCGGATGCCATTTTGTGCTGTTCATTGAAGGTAACACATTACCTTTCTTAATCAACATTCTGGTCAACAAGGTATCATGATGCATCAAACACTGAGAACTGTTGCCCAAATCTGTTTTGCTGTGCAGTCGCTGCCCGTGTTCATCTTTGCGAATCAAGCAGGGCTCGACATGCTGGAAACGACTCTGCTAGCTCTGCAAGACATCACATTGGATAAGATCTTCGACGAATCCGGGCGAAAGGCACTCTGTGGGGACTTTGCAAAGTTGATGCAACAGGTACATTATATGTGCATAGAACAATCTTCTTTCCCGAGCATATTATATCAAAATCTCGTGACATTTAGACTTCGGTATTGAAACTAGACTTCTTATATGATCATGTCTGCCTGTTGACCACAGGGGCTTGCTTACTTGGCGGGCGGGATGTGCATGTCGACGATGGGGCGACATGTATCGTTCGATCAAGCCGTTGCGTGGAAAGTGCATGCTGCTGGAGAGGAGAGCACAGTGCACTGCCTGGCCTTCTCATTTGTTAACTGGTCTTTTGTGTGAGAGTGATGTAGGATGGTAGGTTTCTTTTGATCCAAGGAATCCTTTAGTCAAGAAACAGCCTGTGTCTTTCTGGTAAGTGGTCGGGGAGAATGCAGGGAGAGAGTTGTGAAACCAAAGAAAGAAAACGGGAAAGTAGAGATGGGAAAAAAGGGTTTGGGACTTGGGAGGGTGATGAAGTGAAGTTTTGTATGTAATATTTAAGGGTTTGCAGATTATGTATTTCATAATTAATTTCATTTAATCCTTTTTGTCTTCTTCTGATGTTTATATTAAGTTCATCATAGAACCAGGATGGTACCCAAGTTTGAATAAGGACAGTTTGTATTTGTCCTTGTTGGAGTCTTTTTTTGTACTTTGGTGGCAGAAATGACACCCATCATTGCACCTCCAGAAAACCTTTTAAAAGGGAGTAACCAATAAAGATGAACAACTCAGAAAAGTTCATTTGCAAAGTTTTCAACTCGTGGGTTGACCTGGATCCGGTCAATCTTGTGGATCAAGGGTTAATGGGTCACCCGGTTTAACCCGGAAATATGGAAAGCGTCATTATATTGTACTTATCCTGATAAATTATATCAAATCTAATCTAACATGAGTTATAACATATAATATTACACCAAAATAACATTTCGTACTTAGATTCAACATATAGTGAAAATTCACAGACTTATATAACATTAATATTCAAATGTTCAACTTAGGATTCCAAAGATTGAGTTAGGCGAAAAGAAAAATCGGAAAATAGGCGCATTTCGCAAAACAAAGAAAAAAAGACAGAATTTGACCTCCAACCCGGTACCTTTTGGCGGTCGACCCGACGGGTGTGTGCGGCCCGTTTTTCTCATCGGGTCAGGGTCAAAGTGGGTCAACCCGCAGGTCGACAACCTTGATTTGTAGTGAATGGTGGTAGTTGACTAGTTATGGAATTGCTCAATAACATCTTACTAACGAATTTTGAGTTCTGCTTGTTCATGCATATCCATGTGTAGTAGTTTCTCATTTGTCATTTCAATAAAAATCCGTTCATTATCTAACACCTTCGAGTTCACTGAACATTTGAAGTCTGCATTTTTATCTTAGAATTGAGATGAACGAACAGTCAACGATTACATTATCTAACACCTTCGAGTTCACCGAACATTTGAAGTCTGATATGATTACAGATATTTTAATCATCCCAACGAAATGCTCATTTTCCTGGCGGGTTGAATGGGAAAAGGCTGTGGCCATAGTTATGTCCGCCATATCTCTCCCATGCATTTAACAGAACCGACACAAAGCTTCTTTAATTCCCAATTGTTTCCTTTGACTTTCCCCTACACAACAACAGCAACAACATTAACACCACCAAAGACGACAACAGAAGCAACCAACAACGTAGCTTTCCCTTTCCTTCTCCCCAGCTCCAAGTCCACTGTTCATTGCCCTATGGCAGAAGCCGGAAAGGACAGCCAAAAAATATACAGAACAGATACCCCACTTGCTACAGTACAAGTTACTTCAGAAAACCCTAAAATTTCCCCCCAAAAAAACTGACAGTGCAATTCAGCAAATCATAGTTAAGCTGGCAACTCTGCAGCCATGGGAGGTCACGTTGACTGGATACAGTAAACAAAAAGAGGGTAAAAGCAAATCATCAGAGCACAATGGCAACCCCTTGGAAAATTTATCAACTACTTGCTGTGTGTGTGTTCTCATTTACAAACAACAAAAGAGCAAAGAAGATTACATTCAGGGTCAAGAGAATGAACTCTATCCCTCTCTCGCGAATCGCGGTGGCAGCAAAAAAAACGAGGACAACAATTAAGAGATCGATGGGGCGGGATGCTTTTCGACGCGATTGGACTGCTTGCTACCTCGAGGCGAGCGACCAGAAGTTCAAAAGAAACGAGGGCAATGCGGTGAACCAGCTGATGAATGCCATCGCTGTAGCTGTTTCGAACTGGACGCAGTGGTTCTGCCTGCAGCTACCGAGATCGTTGTCTATAAGTACTGTGATCCCCGCCGAGGCACAGGCTGCTGCAAATGTCAGCGTGGAGGTGACCTGAAAGAAAGTGAGCGGGAAGGGAGAAAGAGAACATTACATGAGTAGGTTGATGGAAAATTTGTGCATTTCAATGCGGAGAAGAACTAGCATAATCCCACAATAAACGAGCAACTAACTTAAGCGCAGTGAATTGATTCAAGGGAGGATACTCTTAGGACACTATGGCAAATGGTTTAAAGGCCCTTAAGTTTTTTTGCTTGAACAATTCAAGGTTATAGAGAGCATAGTGATTGTGATCTTACCCCATCACCAATCGTGAACAAGCAGACAACTCGATGATTCTGCAAGGAGCGCATCACTAGAATGGCATATATGTCTACGATAGCCAGAGAAAGGCTCCACAGACACTGCAAGCCAGCTGCTGCAACAAGGTAGCTGATATATAGCAGATATCAGAATCCCTTTTTATTTCCTTCTCTCATGAAAACAAGTATCAGAAAACCAAAATCAGCAAGAACACAGCAAAAATATTGAGAAATCGAAGTGGGTAGAAGGATAGCTAGGACCATTTACAACACAAGGATGATAACAATCATTGCACGCACTCAACACATTAGAACCCAGTCCTATATAGAATCAAGATGGCAAAGCATGGTGATCAGGACTCAATATGACTACTAATGGGTAGAGAGTAATTTCCGTAAATTTGCAGGTCATCCATATGCATCCTTTGGGTTCAAACTATGACTTGGGAAAGCTGTGAACAACGAATCCTGAATTCCCGTTTGTCTAAACCTCTAGATTTAAGGAAGAGGCAACTGGTAGAACACTATAGAGATCAAGAGAATGGATCAATACTTAGACTAAGCATCAAATGCAATTCATCCATCTTATTGAAGTCACCAAATCAAAATCCAAACTAGTCCACACTCAACGAGCAGTTTCAAGTCATATTTCTTCTAAACAATAACCCATTTCTGTTCAGTATAGCTGTCTCCCACAGTTCAACATTTCTAATCAGAGCCCGATGCAATTGTATATCCGTACCAGAAGGCAGTGACGGACGGGAAGTCGCTAGTGGTGGCCATGACAAGAAGAGCCGCGGTGGCGAAGAAGAACTGAGCCGCTCGCAAGGCCAGCCCCCCTTTGGTCCCTGGCATCCCTTGTACATCCTTCATCCGAACTCTCGCCGGAGCATTGTTGTTGTTGTTGTTGTTCCCGCCGTCCGTCGTGGGCGGATCTTCCACCGGGTGAACCGACGCATGGCTCACACTCATCTCTCTTTCCCTGAAAATTTCTCTTCAAACCATCACCACCACCACCGCCTCAGCTCAGTTTCCCCCCCGCACCTGTTGCCACCAGATTCACAAGTTCATAATGCTTGCTTTATTGGCCTGTTTGGCTCCCGAGAAAAAAAAAAGCAAACAGACGAAGGCGAAAGGAAACCGACAAGCAAGCACGCGCGCACCTACTCTGTACCGCCGAGTCCCGACCTGATCGAGTCGACTCGGCTTCCGATATGCGTCTTCTTCACACAAACTCCTTGGGATTGAAGCTAGCAGTCTAATCCACGAGACATTTCAGGGACAAACCTCTCGTTTTCTTCCCCGGAAACTTCACCAATTGCTTTCTCGTCGGCCTAACGGCGACAGGACTAAGATCTGCGCACAGCCGACGAGCAGCGCCAGTTTCAGACGGTGAAAATTTTTCAATTGAAAGCAACGGGAAACGGAAGAGGAAGGAAAAGAATCCACATACCTAATTTCCGGGAGGCGTGAGACACGGCGGCGCCGAGATCGGCGATCGAGCTAGAGTAAGGAGCAGAAGAAGAAGAAGAAAGAGGAGTAGAATGCAGAGTTTATAAAAAGGGAGGGAGGTGTCAGCGGCCGAATCAAAACGAGAGCCGCCTCGTCGAATGAGCTATGGCTTACAGCTCCTCGAGCTCCAAGGGTGTAGTCAAAATGCGATGGGGAGATCCGCCACGCGCCGCCGGATTGGAGTGTGTACGACACGCGGCGCGTAAAGCATTTTGTCGCCGGGACGGGCACGGCGGAGTGGTGGGGGAAGTCGGCGAGTTTAGTTTTGGACGGCCAGCGGGTTTGACGAATTAACGTCCGCGTTACGTTTTGTTTTCTTTCTGTAATTAAGAATTATTATTTATTATTCGGGAAATGGACAACAAATATTATTATTTGTGTTGTTTTCTTTTTTGGAAAAAGGCTGAGAGGATTAAATAAGCCCAGACAAACGAGACATTAGTTATCTAGGCCCATCTGCCAGTGGGCTCTGGGCTGCGATTTTTGTGCAAGATAACAAGGTTTGGTAGGCCCATATGTTTCTCTTCGTTGCATTTTAGGTGTATAATTGTACTCCATCGTTCTCTTCGATTCAATGGATGAGAAAGGAGAATGAAAAATAATCACGTTTTGGTAAATACTAAATACCTCTCACGATGTACATAAGTGATGAAGTTAGCATGAAATTGAATTTCGAATAATAGGCTGAAATCTATGGAAATAGTGGAATGAAGAAGTTATGGATGAAAAATAAAGTGATTTGAATTATAAACGATTTGAAGAATTTGGCCCGAATCCAAATTAACAAACAAGCACGAGTGAGCCCTCAAAAGAGCATTATGGAGGTACGTAGCTCGCCAAGTTTTCTGCTTGTAAGGTGCAATTGAAGACAATGTTGACCAGAATCTCAATTCTCAAAGTCTTCACGTGCAGTTTCATGCCACTTAATCAATGTGTTCGTCTTGATCTCGAGTGTTGGTTTTGTGTCGTCCAAGAGCCAATCACAAGATAATCGTTTTATACACGTGCCAATTAGTTGTATCGTGATAAAGTTGTCGTCTAATTTCAACATTATGTTTGTTGCTCGTATATGCATGTCAATAACAAAGGAGATGAGCCCTATATAGTAATCAAACGGATGGAGACCCACGCAATCTAGTGTAGCTAGCAATGTGTTGATGAGGTCACTTATCACTAACGAAAGCTTCCAAAGTAGTCCACGTTTCCAATCTCGTTCCCAAACCAAAGACATTTTTGGTCATATTCTCAATTTATAGTCACTATTTTGTTTTCCTCTCTTGGAAGAAATAGAAGTTAGGATTATAATTATTTCATTAAATGGAGAAAGAAAAAAATTAGGGGGTTTAACTCGTGGGAGGTGATAAATGATGATTCAATGGATGAGATTAATGCTAGAGAGGGTAAGAGTTATTCATAAGCAAATTTTTCTCGAACGGGGATTAATTGTTGGATTGTGAAGGAGCACGAAAAGAACTCAAAACCATCGTGGAGACAATATGTAAAGGAGGATAATGAGAAGTGAGTGGGGAGGCATGAACGCAATCAAGATGAAGGTGGTGATAGCGATTAAGGGTTCGTAATTGTTCTCTTAATGATATTGTAATTGTTGGTTACATGAGACATTTGTTTTTTTTTTTTTTTTATGAAGTTGAAGTTCAAATGTGCAAGATATCAACTGAAAACAAAGATAAAAAAGACAATTATAAAAAAAGATAGATAAAGACAAGCAGAGAAGAGAGAGACGAGATGAGCGCGCTTATAGTGGTTGGTCGATTCTTTTTGCTAATCCTAAAATTACTTCCCAAAATCTCGGCCCTTGGATTAACTGTCTACGAATTCAATGATTGAGAATCTTTTTTTTTTTTTGTCATAGACAGGGTAAAGTATAGACATTAGAGGACACTTAGCAACCAAACGCGACAGTCGACAACTACTCGAACTGTCGATGAAAGAGCCATAAAAGCCACTAAATGGGCAGCTCTATTGTACAACCTAGGAGTACAAATGCAAAAAAAGAAAGCAAATGATGGAGCAGCCAAACAAATCTTCCCCAGAAAAGTGCCACCGGATGTATGAGCCGAAGGCGATCAAGAACTCGTCAAACCAAGAGAAATAAAATAAACAAACTTGGTTAAAATGAAATTAAAATAAAGAAGGAAATAACTAAGAATCATTATTTTGCAGCCTTTTTGTAACTAATCATTACCATGTAAATAAAAATTTACCAAACTAACACTACTCCTTTTGGCGTCCCGTAACGGGCAGAAACTAACATTGCCGCCAAAAATATACTTATAATTTTAGTGATAGGAGAATACAATCTTAAATCAGTTGCGAACTGCACTTATCCTCCAAATAATCTCGCAAACATATTTACCACGTTTGCAAGTCTGGCTCAACGTTGTCAGATAATTGTTAATTTCCACATTTTATAAATAAACATAATTTAGCAAAATCAGCACAACTCATTTCGATATCCCATAACGGCTAGTTACTGTTAACACATCAACCGCCAAAATATACTTCTAATTTTAGCGATGAAACTTATGCATACACTAAGTTAGTATCTAGACTTCAACCGAACTAACATCCTCGATCAATTCCTTCCTTTTCTCTCAGTTAACATATACAATCCTGACATCCATATCAAGACCAAATCGAACCAAACCGTCTCACACCCGAGCAAACAATTCGGTTTGGGACTTGGGAGGGATGGTTCATGTTTGGTTGGTGGTAACTCCGGAGTACATCTTTTGTACTTTAGCCCACCCGTTCTTCGAGATGAGAAATAATGGGAAAAAGGATAAACAAAATTAAACGTGAAAAATTAAAAAAAGAGGATGAAAAACAATTAACCCCTGGCTCTTATTTGGCTGCTGCTGCCACCTCTTTCGGCCCAAATTCCTTCTTCAACCTCTCGATCTTCGCGGTCTGGTCTTTTTTCGATCTCTCTCTCGCCTTTTCCCTCCTCCCCCTCCGTGCGGCAGAGAATTAGGGTTCCCCCCCCAAAGCTGAAAGTGAAAGGCGGTCTCTGCCTGTCACTGAGCCAGTCCACTTCTCAACCTTTCAGCCCACACCTTATTGAATCTGGAGCTCTCTCCCTTGGAATTACCTTAACCCGCTTCGTTTTTTCCCCAAGTTTTATCACCGGGGTTACAGATCTGCACGGCTCTCTGTGCTTCAAGCTTTTGCTTGCTGGATTTCCACTGTGGGTTCCTGAATCGTAGTTAGTCAGTCATGTTTTGGAAGCTGCCTATTCTCTCTGCTTCTTCTCCTGTAAGTGAGAATTTGTTGTCCGTCGAAGTCGTCATGGGTTTTCTCCGTTCGCTTAATTCTCGGATGCTTGATGCAGTTGGGGAGTTTTCATTTCTTGGGTTCTTGGGGGGTCTTGTTTCTCTGCTCAAGGATTTAATTGCTGTTGTATGGGCTTGTTGGTGGTGTCTGTTTGGGATGAGTTGTTTTGGACTGGTCAAGTGCCTGTTTGGTGGGTCTGGTTGGTTTGTTGGTTGGATGGATTTGTGGGGTTTGATTGTTTGCTGTTTTGTTATTCAATTTATATGAGCTTCCCGGGAGCTTTTCATGTAAGGGTAATGTGGTAGGTGTCAGTGTGCCATGTTCGATTATCGTTAAAGTGTGGCTGATACAATTGAAAGATTGTGTGCATTGCCTTTGGGATTTAACTGCAGAGTTGCTTCTCGTGAAATGGATGCTATTGATGATTTTGCTTTTAGAATATTGATTGGATTGGTTATCAGACTGTAGTTGATGATCGTGCTGTGAGATGTGTTGGGAAATGGAGATTGGAGTAATTTGGATATTGAGTTCTGTTTGGACTTTGGTGGGAGTTGGTTTATACTTTGAAATTGTGTACTGTGCTTTCACTTCCTTCCCTTTATGCTGTTTTTTTTTTCTCTATCTCAGCAATTGTTTGCTTATTTTTAGGTGGAGGCAATACTAGACAAGGAGAATTTCACATTAGAAGAGCTTCTTGATGAGGAAGAGATAATCCAAGAATGCAAAGCTTTGAATAGTCGTCTAATTAACTTGTAATCTCTTTTCTCCTGCTCGCAAATGTTGTCTCTTATACGCCTTTGGAATGCCGGGTTTTGGTATTTGACATATCTATGCTGATCATGGAAGGGTCTTATGATGCATTAGCTGGATTCAAGTGGTAGTGGATACTGACTGTGTATTATACTATGCAGTTTGCGTGATAGAGCCCAAGTGGAGCAGTTACTGCATTACATAATCAATGAACCTCCAGAAGACTCTGAAAGTCAACGAGCCTTCAAGTATGTTGAGGCTGACTGCTGCTCTTTTTGTAAATGTTAAGGATAACGTTGGTTATAGGATGCTAGCTCTCGTTTTAGTCGCGCAGTATTGCTTACCAAGTCCATTTCTTATTGGTGACTGAATTAAGTGTTCTCCTTTAGGTTTCCATTCATTGCCTGTGAGATTTTCATCTGTGAAATCGATGTTATCCTCAAAACTTTGGTGGAGGAAGAGGAGGTTTGTTATATGTTCTTCCCCATTTGTTTCATCTGTCCAAGTGTACTACTTATGGTTGTTTATCTAACAGTTTGTTGGCAACTTTATGCCACGCAGTTAATGGATCTTCTGTTCTCTTTCCTGGAACCTGAGCGTCCTCATAGTGCCTTGTTGGCTGGCTACTTTAGCAAGGTGGGTATTTCTCTCTTTCTATATTTAGTATATTACTATTCAGAAACTTTGTTTCTATTTTTCTGATTTAGTTAAACTGGGTGTCTTATCTTAATGGATGTAACCCTTTCAGGTTGTTGTTTGCCTGATGTTACGCAAGACAGTCCCCCTGATGAACTATGTTCAGGTAAATATCCACTTCTAACTTACTGCTGTGCTGTAACTTTGCAAGTATCGTCTTGGCTTTTCTCTTTTTGTTAAAAAGGCTAGATTTCCTGTGTAACAAGACTCTGTTTTGATGCATAGTAGGTTATCCACTTCTCTCCTGCGCCAATGCTTTATGTTCTGCAAGTAGCATATGTAAAGCTCCCATGATTAATCCTCAGTGGTCCAATGCAGGCTCATCAGGATGTTTTCCGCAAATTGGTTGACTTGATTGGCATTACTTCAATCATGGAGGTAACTAGCTTACTTATGCTATTGCCAGTTAAATAGTGGGCTTTTGTCCGGGCTTTAGAAAGAAAAAAACGAAGCGACTGCATGATTGTATCATTTTTCATAGTCGATGTATTTTTAAATCATTGTTGGCAAGGTTTTGATATTAAGGAGCATAATGCAGGTTCTGGTTCGGCTAGTGGGTGCTGATGACCATGTGTATTCCAATTTTGTCGATGTGATGCAATGGCTGGCAGATAGTAATTTGCTGGAGATGATCGTGGACAAGTTGAGCCCTTCTGTAAGTGTTCTGCATTTACTACTAAGCTGATGTTGCTCGTTTCTTTTGGTTGTCTATTTAATGAGTACATGCTTTTTGTGTTTTAGTATATTGTATTTAATTGGCCAATCTGGTCTTGTGGATATTTTTCTTGGTTTCTTTAACAGTTGTTTTAATTCTTTTCTTAGCTGTATTCACATAATTGTGGGAAAGCCAGTGGTGATATATTTTTCTGTATAAACCAGAAATAGCCATTCAATTTTCATTGAATAGGTTTATATAAGGATGTGCTTGCCATATTAGTTTCAGCGAAGCCCTAAAGCTGCAATGATCAGGTCGTATTGGATATTGAGACTTGAGAGATGGAAGCCTAAATTAGGAAGTAAAACTCTTTGCAAAAGAAGTCGTTATTAGCAGTATAGAATGATTATGTTAGTCTTCTTTCTCATAGATAGTTGCACTTGTGGCATTTTAAGTGATTTTTTTTGGTAATATGCGAGACAGTGCACTCCCGAAGTTCATGCTAATGCAGCAGAAACGCTATGTGCAATTACTAGGAATACTGGATCGGCCTTGGCAACAAAACTCTCTAGTCCGAGGTTTGTATGGTTTTTGATGATGCTGATAATCCTTCTGGTTAACTTATGTATTTAACATATATATTTTGATTTCTTACTTGGTTCTGGCACTCGATTCTTGCAGTTTTGTTGCAAGGATATTCGGTCATGCATTGGAAGATTCACATTCAAAATCTGGTCTTATTCACTCACTATCGGTGTGCATCTCTTTACTGGATCCAAAAAGATTTACAAATGCATCGCTCATGATGCATTCTTTCCGAAGTCAACATATGTACGAGGCTCCAATTCCCGTAAATCCAGAGACCATAGATGCAATGTTGCCTCATCTTGGTGAGTGACTTTGTTGAGCTGGTTCTGTGCTTATTGACCTCTCATTTTTATTGGTTGATGATTCACTCATCACATATACTAATGCCTTTTGTTTTGCTTTAATTTTTCTGGTTATTATTATTTTATTAGGGATGCTGGATTATCGGTTGTGCATAATATAACAATAATTCATAACTTATTCTTTAATTCTATAAATAGGTGATTTGCTCCAGCTGTTAAATGTATCATCTGATGAGAAGATTTTGCCCACAACATATGGACAACTGAAGCCTCCCTTGGGGAAGCATCGTCTAAAGGTGGGTTTCGGTACTGAACTGATAGTTGTCATAAGTGTTCATTTGGTAATCATAGATTGTGCATTCCACTGAGCTTATGTGTTCTTGATGTTAAAGTCACGGCATTAACCGTTTTCTGTTTTCTAGATCGTTGAGTTCATTGCAATTTTGTTGAAAACTGGCAATGAAGCTGCAGAGAAGGAATTGGTTAGCTCAGGAACTGTTAAGAGAGTACTTGATCTCTTCTTTGAGTAATCATCTACTTCTTTATTCATTCTGAATTTATTAAATTTACACAACACTGGTTTACGTGCATATTATTTGACTAAAAGAGCTCTCTTCTGTTGATTGAACTAACCTCATTTGGTTTCTGTTTAACTTCCTTGTAGGTACCCATTCAATAATGCCTTGCACCATCATGTGGAAAGCATTACATTTTCATGTTTGGAGACCAAGAGTGAATCTATGATTGATCATCTGCTTCGTGAATGTGACTTAGTAGGCAAGCTTCTTCAGACAGATAAGAACCCTGTCATCCCTGGTGATCAAAATCAGGTAGATATATATAATATGCTCTTGAATTAATTATAATAACTTTTTTAGAGAAGCCGTGCAAAGCTTCTGCTCATGCAAACATTACTGCTTCAGTGAGGCAAATATTGATGATGGCAAAGAAATCTTATCGTGTTCAGTGGGTTCTACTAAGCATCTATGTTTCTGTGCAGCCAACTTTACCTGCGACTGGGAAACGGCTTCCAAGGTCAGGAAATCTTGGACATATTACTAGAATTTCTAATAAGCTTGTTCAGCTGGGAAACAGCAACAGCTGCATTCATACATATTTACAGGTTGGTAGTGAGCTGGACATGCAAGGTTTTCCTTCTATAATTTTTTTTGTTTGTTGAAAGTTGCATAATAGCTAAAAGTAAATGAACACTTGTGAAGTGTTTGGATGTCTCTCTTCGTTTTAAACGCCTAATGTTTGGATATGAAACACCAGGGGGTTGTCTTTCGGTCTAATGCAGTCTACACGTGTTTGTCCTGTGTAGGAAAATAGTGAATGGAAGGATTGGCAAACCATTGTGTTGCAGGAACGCAACAATGTCGAAAATGTCTACCGATGGAATTGTGGGTAAGTTAACACCTCATCTCATCTGGTGTATGATTCACATTCGTCAAATGAAATCATGATCTCCATAATCGAACATTTATTAATGATTTTTCCAATTGATAGAAATTATGTTGATCATGAGCTGCTTAGCTGGCTAATGTGGACAAAGTTGCTGATGTATATAGGAGCAATCCGTATGACTTGATTCATGAGGTGTTTGTAGAAATTTTTTACCATCTTTATTGAAAGACCTAAGACATTTCTAACTTTTTCTCAACATTTTGGATTTTATTACAGTTGCCTTCATGATGTCATTTTTTCTTTTTCATTGCATGATGTAGAAACTCATAATCTTTAAGGTGTTGGATGATTCATTGATAAGCTTATATTGTTTGCTTTAGATTGACGGTGGAACTGGCAATATGCCGATAGTGGCCAATGAAACCTCTGTTATGCCTTTAACTATTGTTATTGTGGGTCACAACTTTGAGCTAGTATTATTGTGGTTTTGGAAATAAGATTTTGTGCTTTTGTCAGTTTGAGGGGGAGAGAATCAGAATAATTTGGCAAGAAAAGGCTTAGGCTGAGGTGTTCTTTCACAGTTATGGGGCTCCCTGTGGATTTACGTTTGAAAAAAGAGAAGAAAAACATAGGACGTCACAGAAAAGATGTCATAGTGTATGTTTTTCTAATGTGGTGTCTGTAGTTGTCCATATGCCCTTCTACACGAGGGATATGTTTTAAGAATTTTTTTTGGCTCTCAATAATAATGTTATTACCTACCTTTTTCTGTGTCCTCTTGTTAAGAAATACTATGGTTTTTGTTTTATTGCAGCCGTCCTACTGCACTCCAAGATAGAACTAGGGACAGTGATGAGGATGACCTTCATGAGAGAGATTATGATGTAGGAGCTCTCGCAAACAACTTAAATCAGTCATTTAGGTATAAAATTTATGGGAATGAGGACGCTGAAGAGGTAATGTGCTGTTTCATATCTATGAAATGAATTTCTGCTTTTCAGCCTGCATTTGATATCATTCTGCTTCTTAACTTCTTTTTCCATTTTAGCAGGAAAATGGTGGCCTTGATAGAGATGATGAGGTTAGTCCTTCTATTCTTTATCAATTATTCAGGAATGGCTTCTGAATATTCATTACTTAAGGGAAAAACTGTAATAGAGAAGATGAAAATGAGTGAACAGTTTGTCTTTTACCTACTGTAATGGGACTGGCTTGTGATACTCGATATGCAGGATGTCTACTTTGACGATGATTCTGCTGAAGTAGTTATATCATCTCTCAGACTTGGTGATGAGCAAAGGTGAGTGTTTTTCACTCAATTATTTTCACCTGTACCAGAAACAAGTTTGTTTCATGGTCATTCTATAAACCTCTTGTGCTTTCAATGCAGCAATCTATTCACAAACTCAAACTGGTTTGTGTTCAATGACGAGCGAGTTGGCGGTGAACCTGTCAGCACTTCTTCAGCTATGGATGTGATGGAAGAGATCAACTTGAACGGGAATAATGCGAACAGTGTTGGTGGTAACAGCAGTAGTGATGACGAGGTGGTGGTGGGAGAGGATGAATTGACCACCGAAACCAAAGATGATTCAATTTCTGCTGGTGGTGGTGCATCCACTTCTGACGCCAACGACTTCAATGGTTTCCCTAGTAATGGACCAAGTCCACAGACCAATGATGAGACCACTGATGCGGGCTTCTTCAAGTTCGAGACTCCAGAGGCCGAGGACTTATTTGCAGAAAGGCCATTGCCTGAATGGGTAGCGTGGGGGTCATCGGACCTACCAATTGGCGGTTCGTCCAGTCTGAATCCATTCCTTGATCAAGACACCCCTGATGATGCCAATATTTCCAATCAAGCAGATGTGGCTACGACCGAAGTTAGTTCTGAAGAACCTGTACTGCCAAACGGTTCCTCTCCAACCAGGGAGTCTGGCAGTGGCAGTGATGGTTCTGCAAAGAGCGATTCAAGTCTGAGAGCAGTCACTGCAGTGCCCTCGCTGTTCGAGGAGGACGTGGAGTTTGTAGGGGTGGAACCTGAAGGTACTGAGAAGGCGATGGATCAGGCTCTGAAGGAAGGGATTGTCGGTGAAGCTGGACCATTGAAGAGGAGCATGGCTCCTCCGCAATTGGCAGAGAAGGAGAACCCAGATGATGGTAAGGAGTTCAACGACGCCAACTATTGGAGGGTTGATCAAGAGGTTGCCGTTATCGAGTGATGGATGGGTTGGTGTTCTTTTTCTTTTTCTTCTTCTTCTCTGTCTCTTGTAAACTGGACAACATATGGAATTGAAAGCGTAGAACTACAGCGGGGATGATGCCCCAGAACCCTGCAGGGTGTCTTTTAAGGGTTAGCTGATTTTATGTACAGTGTAATTTTTGGTGGAGTTTTTTATGGTCCGGTTGGGTTGGGGGGAATGGATAGAGTCATAGAGAGCTGTGTTTAGTGACACCTTTAATCTTTGGTTAGTGTCTGTCTTTATTAGTTATATTGTCGATTTAACTGAACTGAACTCTTGCTCAACCTCCAGCTGTTGTCTTCTATCTTCTCTACAAAGCACAAACTAATGCTGGGAAGAGATTGGTGCAGTAGAAAGAAGGCAAATTCGTTGGTTGGTTCGACGGAGGGAGGGAGAAGATAGAGATCGTGCTGAACGAGCTGCTGGGGAAGAAGGTGAGGGTGAAATGAAACCAGGACGACTTTAAGAAGCTGGTCGTGGCCCAGACGAGAGTTAAGAGCCTGAATTCGACGAGAATTCGTGCATGGTTGAGAATCAACTACCCTTTGGTGGAATGGAAGTATAGGTTTTATAAGCATATTCCAGAATGGATAATATCCCCTGACATGAGAGCAGTTCCAGCCTTCCAGGTAAGACCATGACCATGCTCTTGCAGGAGCAGATGCAGCAGCCAGGGGATCATTAATCACTCAATCCACCAACCAAATATCGTCATTGCCGAGCTCTGTTAGTAGATACAGGATATGGAATGGACCACAGGGCTGACACCAGCATTGACTGACAGACTGAGTGAGAAGTGAAGGCAGTCATTTAGGCTAGGCGCACACAGTTTTCCACCATATGTTGTTTTCCATTCATTTTGTCTATACACGATTGATTGCTCATTTTGCCAAATTTGGTACCTGGATGGCTCTGCATCTTGCTCTCCCATGGAAGAAAGGAAGAAAGAAAGCTGTTTTTGAAGTGGTCCTTTCCTTTCCGTGTACAGTGTACTGCATAATAGAGAACCGGTTATACTGTACTGTACCGGATGTTATGCCGGAGAAGTGAATGGGTAGATATTTTGTATTAAAATCGTGGTTTAACTGTGATTGAACCGTTTCCTACCGCATATCGTTTTGAATCCGGTATCTGGTATTTCCAGTCCGACCGACCGGTACGGTAGAGTTTCCTAAACCTTGCATCAAATACACCAGCAAGTGCTAGCTAGAAATAGGGGTAGTGGGATAGAGTTCACTGTCTTGTCCCATCTCCATCATGAGACTGATCAGTTATGTACCTATGTAGTATGTGTTGAATAAGTTCAATCCTTATCCCTTGCGGATACCCACGAGTCTATCATTTAATTTAATGACACTGCTGTGATATATTTCTGCCCTGGCTATGACTTCACTTCACTTTGTATCTGCCAACCACCCTTACCATCAATTAATAAAACCATATGTCTTAGTCTTAGCTAGAGAGGAAAAAAACTCCATCCTTGCCCAACATTAAACACCTAAAAGGGAAGTTATAGGTCTTCAATCAGATTCATGGTTCTATGTTGTTCGAAATGAATGAATGAATGAATGAATGAATGAATGAGACAATAAAGAAGAGGTATATCAAGTCCCCATTTGATGCCCATTTCATTCACATAACTAAGGAACAAGGACTCTCACCATTTGATGTGTGATTGATAGTTCATTTTCTTTAGTATTTATGTTAGCCAACAACCCCAATGTAGAGTATGTAGATGTAAAGTTCTCCTTTGGACATCTCAAGGTAACTCAAGTTATTTAGATAAACTGTTTTCTCCATCAACGATAATGACTAGAATTTGTCAATTATGACGGTTTTTTTTTTCTGGAGGGTATTTTCGTAATTTTTGGTGATTTTTCTAAAGGTCATTTTCCTTGGATTTTGCAGACTATAGATCAAGTATTGGACCTGATACTATTCTTCACCGATTTGGATGGATTTTTTCTGATACTGTTTTTGACGGATTCCGAAAAGAGGTAACATCACAGATTCTTAGCAATTTTTCGAAATACCGTTTTCCTTTGATTTTGAAGGTTACAGATAACTGATTTGACATGAGGCTATTCTTTACCGATAATGAAGTCTACTAAGCAGCAAATTTTCTTAATAATTGGTGAATAGGATAAATAGACTTCATTATCGGTAAAGAATAGTCTAGGGATGAATCCGTGATCTGTAACCTTCAAAATTGTAAGAAAATGACATTTTGGAAAAATCGCTCGAATTATGTGATTGTAGCCCTTTCTAATTTGCCAAAATAGACTCGGAAGAATCCACCCAAATCGGAGATTAATGGACTTAATCATCGTTGAAGAATAGCCTCAGGCCGAATCCGTGATATGTAGCCCTAAAAATCCAAGGACGATGGCCTTTAAAAAATTTTCCCTAAAAATAACAAAATATCATCCCAAAATAAATTTGCCCATTTCGGTACTTTATTAACTTAATCATCGGTGGAGAATAGGATCAATAGACTTCATTATCGTTGGAGAATATCCTCGAGTTGAATCCTTGATTTGTAGCCTCCAAAATCGAAAGAAAATGACATTTCGGAATAATCGATAGAATTCTGTGATGGTACCCCCTTTGGAATCTGCAAAAAATGGAGTCGGAAGAAATCCGTCTAAATCGGTTATTAATGGACTTAATCATTGTTGAAGAATAGTGTCAGTCGAATCCGTGATATGTAGCCTTCAAAATCCAGGGAAAATGGTCTTTCAAAAAACAATTGCCCAAAAAATTACAAAAATACCATCCAAATATAAATTGGGCCAGGTGCTTAATGGACTTAATCATCGGCGGAGAATAGGATCAATAGGCTTCATTATCGGTGGAGAGTAGCCTGCGGCGGAATCTGTGATTTGTTGTCTCCAAAATCGAAAGAAAAAGGCATTTCGGAAAAATCGCACGAAATCTCTAATGGTACCCCTTTGTAGTCGGCGAAAATGGACGCGAAAGAAATCCGCCCAAATCGGTGATTAATGAACTAAATCATTCTTGAAGAATACACTCAGGAAGATTCGTGATTTGCAGCCTTCAAAATCCAAGGAAAATGGTCTTTCCAAAAATTGCCGAAATTTACGAAAATGCCATCTTAAAATAAATTGGCCAAATTCGGTGCTTAATGGACTTAATCATTGATGGAGAATAGGATCAATAGACTTCATTATCGGTGGAGAATAGCCTCCGATTGAATCCGTGATCTATAGCCTCCAAAATCGGGAAAAATTGCATTTCGAAAAACCGGCCGAAATTAGGGTTTGTAGCCCTTTGGAATATGCAAAAAATGGACCAGGGAGAAATTCGCCCAAATCGGTGCTCAATGGACTTAATCATCGTTGAAAAATAGGCTCAGGTCGAATCTGTGATCTGTAGCCTCTAAAATCTAAAGAAAATGACATTTCAGAAAAATCGTCTGAAACATGTGATGGAACCCCTTTGGAATTTGCCAAAATTGACTGGGAAGAAATCCGTCGCAATTGTGATTAATGGACTTAATCATCGTTGAAGAATATTCTTAGGCCGAATTTGTGATTTACTGCCTTCAAAATCCAAGGAAAATTTTCTTTCGAAAAAAACACTTAAAAAAAATATGAAAATGCCATCCCAAAATAAATCGTCCCAATTTGGGGCTTATGGACTTAATCATCGAGGGAGAATAGGATCAATAGCATTCATTATTGGTGGAGAATAGCCATAGAGTGAATTCGTGATATCTAGCCTCCAAAATCGAAAGAAAATTGCATTACAAAAAAATTGCGTGAAATCTGTAATGATACCTCTTTGGAATATGCCAAAATGGATCAGGGATAAATCCGCCCAAATCGGTGTTTAATGGACTTAATCATCGTTGACGAATAGCGTCAGGTCAAATCTGTGATTTGTAACCTTCAAAATCCAAGGAAAGTGGCTTTTCGGAAAAATCGCTTAAAAATTATGAAAATGTCATCCCAAAATAAACAAGAAATCTGTTATGGTAGCCCTTTGGAATCTGCCAAAAATTGACTCAAAATAAATCATCCCAAATCGGTGCTTAATGAACTTAATCATCGTTGAAGAATAGCCTCAGTCCGAATCAATGACATGTAGCCTTCAAAATCGAAAGAAAATGGTCTTTCGTCGCCCAAAAAATTACGAAAATGCCACCCGAAAAATAAATTGGCCCAAACCGGTGCTTAATGAATTTATCATCCGTAGAGAATAAGATCAATAGACTTCATTATCGGTGGAGAATAGCCTCGGCCTGATTCCGTGTTGTGTAGCCTACGGAATCGAAAGAAAATGACATTTAGGAAAAATCGCAAGAAATCTGTGATGATACCCCTTTGGAATCTGCCAAAAATTGACCCAGAATAAATCATCCCAAATCGATGTTTAATGGTCGTAATCATCGTTGAAGAATAGCATCAGTCCGAATCAATGACATGTAGCCTTCAAAATCCAAAGAAAATGGTCTTTCGTCACCCAAAAAATTACGAAAATGCCATCTTAAAATAAATTTGCCCAAATTGGTGCTTAATGCACTTATCATCCGTGGACAATAGGATCAATAGACTTCATTTTCACACGAAATCCGTGACTTGTAGCTTTCAAAATCCAAGGAAAATGGCCTTTCGTCGACCAAAAAATTACGAAAATGTCATCCAAAATAAATTGGCCCAAACCTGTACTTAATGCACTTATCATCCGTGAAGTATAGGATCAATAGACTTCATCATCGGTGGAGAATAGTCTCGGACTGATTCCGTGATCTGTAGCCTCCAGAATCGAAAGAAAATGACATTGCGGAAAAATCGCCGGAAATCTGTGATGGTACCCCTTTGGAATCTGTCAAAAATTGTCTTTGAATAAATCTGGCCAAATCGGTGCTTAATGGACTTAATCATCGATGAAAAATAGTCTCAGGCCGAATCCGTGACCTGTAGCTTTCAAAATACAAAGAAAAAGGCCTTTTATAACGCAAAAAATTACGAAAATGTCATCCGAAAATAAATTGGCCTTAACCGGTGCTTAATTTTCTTATCATCCATGTAGAATATGATCAATAGACTTCATTAACGGTGGAGAATAGCCTCACCCTGATTCTGTGATCTGTAGCCTCCGGAATCTAAAGAAAATGACATTTCGGAAAATCGCCGGAAATCTGTGATGGTACCGCTTTGGAATCTGCCAAAAATTGACCCGGAATAAATCCTCCCAAATCGGTGCTTAATGGACTTAATCATCGTTGAAGAATAGCCTCAGGCCGAATAAATGACCTGTAGCCTTCAAAATCGAAAGAAAAATGCATTTCGTCGACCTTAATATTATGAAAATGTCATCCAAAAATAAATTGGTCCAAATCGGTGCTTAATGCACTTACCATCAGTGGAGAATATGATCAATAGATTTCATTATCGGTGGAGAATAGCCTCGGCCTGATTCCGAGATGTGTAGCCTACGAAATCGAAAGAAAATGAAATTTCTGAAAAATCGGAAGAAATCTGTGATGGGACCCCTTTGGAATATGCCAAAAATTGACATGAATAATTCCTCCCAAATCGGTGCTTAATGGATTTGATCATAGTTGCAGAATAGCCTCAAGCCGAATCAGTGACCTGTAGCCTTCAAAATCCAAAGAAAATGGCCTTTTGTTGCCCAAAAAATTACGAAAATGCCATCCAAAAATAAATTGGCCCAAACGGGTTCTTAATGCACTTATCATCCGTGGAGAATTGGATCAATAGACGTCATTATCGGTGGAGAATAACATCGGTATAATTCCGTGATATGTAGCCTCCGGATTCAAAAAAAAAAAATGTCATTTTGGAAAAATCGCCAAAAATCTATGTTTGTACCCCTTTGGAATCTGCCAAAAATTGACCTGGAATAAATCCGCCTAAATCGGTGCTTAATGGACTTAATCATCGTTGAAGTATAGACTCAGTCGGAATCCGTGACCTATAGCCTTCAAACTCCAAAGAAAATGGTCTATCATCGCCCAAAAAATTATAAAATGTTATCCGAAAATAAATTGACCCAAACCGGTGCTTAATGCACTAATCATCCGTGGAGAATAGGATCAATAGACTTATTATCGGTGGAGAATAGTCTAGGCCTGATTCCGTGATCTGTAGTCTCTAGAATCGAAAGAAAATGGAATTTCAGAAAAATCGCCTGAAATCTCTGATAGAACCCCTTTGGAATTTGTCAAAAATTGACCCGGAATAAATCCTCCCAAATCGGTGCTTAGTGTACTTAATCATCGTTGAAGAATAGTCTGATTCCGAATCAATGACCTGTAGCCTACAAAATCCAAAGGAAATGTCCTTTTATCGCCCAAAAAATTATGAAAATGCCATCCAAAAATAAATTGGTCATAATCGGTGCTTAATGCTCTTATCATCCATGGAGAATATGATCAATGGACTTCATTAATGGTAGAGAATAGCCTCAGTCTAGTTCTGTGATCAGTAGCTTCCGGAATCGAAAGAAAATGGCATTTCGGAAAAATCACCCGAAATCTGTGATGATACCCCTTTGGAATCCGCCAAAAATTGACCAGGAATAAATCCCCCTAAATCGGCGCTTAATAAACTAAATCATCGTTGATGAATAACTTCAGTACGTATCAATGACCCGTAGCCTTCAAAATCGAAAGAAAATGGCATTTCGTCGCCCAAAAAATTACGAAAATGTCATCCGAAAATAAATTGGTCCAAATCGATGCTTAATGCACTTACCATCCGTGGAGAATATGATCAATAGACTTCATTATTGGTGGAGAATAGCCTAGGCCAGATTCCGAGATGTGTAGCCTACGAAATCGAAAGAAAATGAAATTTTTGAAAAATCGGAAGAAATCTGTGATGGTACCCCTTTGGAATATGCCAAAAATTGACCCTGAATAATTCCTCCCAAATCAGTGCTTAATGGATTTGATCATAGTTGCAGAATAGCCTCAAGCCGAATCAGTGACCTGTAGCCTTCAAAATCCAAAGAAAATGGCCTTTCGTTGCGCAAAAAATTACGAAAATGTCATCCGAAAATAAATTGGCCTAAACCGGTTCTTAATGCACTTATCATCAGTGGAGAATTGGATGAATAGACTTCATTATCGGTGGAGAATAGCATCGGTCAGATTCCGAGATATGTAGCCTCCGGATTCGAAAAGAAAATATCATTTCGGAAAAATCGCCTCAAATCTATGATGGTACCCCTTTGGAATCTGCCAAAAATTGACCCGGAATAAATCCGCCTAAATCGGTGCTTAACGGACTTAATCATCGTTGAAGAATAGCCTCAGGCGGAATCCGTAACCTGTTGTTTTCAAAATCCAAAGAAAATGGCATTTCGACCCCAAAAAATTACGAAAATGTCATCCAAAATAATTGGGCCAAACCTGTGCTTAATGCTCTTATCACCGTGGAGAAGATGATCAATAGACTTCATTATCGGTGGAGAATAGTCTCTGCCTGATTTCGTTATCTGTAGCCTCTAGAATAGAAAAAAATGGCATTTCGAAAAAATCACCCGAAATCTGTGATGGTACCCCTTTGGAATATGCCAAAAGTTGACCAGGAATAAATCCACCCAAATCAGTACTTAATGGACTTAATCATCGTTGAAGAATAGCCTTAGTCCGAATGAATGACCTGTAGCCTTTAAAAGCAAAAGAAAATGGCTTTTCGTCACCCAAAAAATTATGAAAATGTCATCCGAAAATAAATTGGCCCTAACCGGTGCTTAATCCTCTTATCATTCATGGAAAATATGATCAATAGACTTCATTATCAGTGGAGAATAGCCTCGGTCTAATTCCGTGATATGTAGCCTCCGGATTCGAAAGAGAATGTCATTTAGGAAAAATCGCCCAAAATTTCTGATATTACCACTTTGGAATCTGCCAAAAATTGACCTGAAATAAATCCGCCTAAATCGGTGCTTAATTTACTTAATCATCATTGAAGAATAGTCTCAGGAGGAATCCGTGACATGTAGCTTTCAAAATACAAAGAAAATGGACTTTCGTCGCCCAAAAAATTACGAAAATGTAATCAGAAAATAAATTGCCCCTAACCGGTGCTTAAAGCACTTATCATCCGTGGAGAATAGGATCAATAGACTTCAATATCAGTGGAGAATATCCTCGTCGTGATTCCGTGATCTATAGCCTCCAGTATCGAAAAAAATAACATTTTGGAAAAATCGCCCGAAATCTGTGATGATACCCCTTTTGAATATGCCAAAAATTGATCCGGAATAAATCCTACCAAATCGGTGCTTAATGGACTTAATCATAAATGAAGAATAGTCTCAGGCGGAATCCATAACCTGTAGCCTTCAAAATCCAAACAAAATGGCGAATCATCGCCGAATTTTTTTTGATAATGTCATCCGAAAATAAATTGGCCAAAACCGGTGCTTAATGCACTTACAATTCTTGGAGAATAGGATCAATAGACGTCACTATCGGTGGAGAATAGCCTCGACCTAATTTCGTGATCAGTAGCCTCCATAATCGAAAGAAAATGACATTTCGGAAAAATCATAAGAAATCTGTGATGGTACCCCTTTGGAATCTGCCAAAAATTGACCCGGAATAAATCCTCCAAAATCGGTGCTTAATGGACTTAATGATCATTGAAAAATAGCCTCAATCCGAATTAATGACCTGTAGCCTTCAAAATCGAAAGAAAATAATTTTTTCGTCGATCAATAAGTTACGAAAATGTCATCCAAAAATAAATTGGTCCAAACCAGTGCTTAATGCACTTATAATACGTGGAGAATAGGATCCATAGACTTCATTATTGGTGGAGAATAGTATGGGCTTAATTCCGTGATCAGTAGCCTCCATAATCGAAAGAAAATGACTTTTCGGAAAAATCACAAGAAATCTGTGATAGTACCCCTTTGAAATCTGCCAAAAATTGACCCGGAATAAATCCTCCCAAATCGGTGCTTATTGTACTTAATCATCATTGAAGAAAAGTCTGAGTCCGAATCAATGACCTTTAGCCTTCAAAATCCAAAGGAAATGTCCTTTTATCGCCCAAAAAATTACGAATATGCCATCCGAAAATAAATTGGCCATAACCGGTGCTTAATGCTCTTATCATCCATGGAGAATATGATCAATAGACTTCATTAATGGTGGAGAATAGCCTCAGCCTAGTTCTGTGATCTGTAGCTTCCGGAATCGAAAGAAAATGGCATTTCGGAAAAATCGCCTGAAATATGTAATGGTACCCCTTTGGAATCTGCCAAAAATTGACCCGGAATAAATTCTCTCAAATCGGTGCTTAATGGATTTGATGATTGTTTAAGAATAGCCTCAGTCTGAATGAATGACCTGTAGCCTTCAAAATCCAAAGAAAATAGCATTTCGTCGCCCAAAAATACGAAAATGCCATCTGAAAATAAATTGGCCCAAACCGGTGCTTAATGCACTTATCATCCGTAGAGAACAGGACCAATAGACCTCATTATCGGTGGAGAATCGTCTCGGTCTAATTCCGTGATATGTAGCATCCGGATTCGAAAGAAAATGTCATTTCGGAAAAATTGCCTGAAATCTGTGATCGTACCCCTTTGGAATCTGCCAAAAATGAACCTGGAATAAATCCTCATAAATCTGTACTTAACGGACTTAAATATCGTTGAAGAATAGCCTCTGGCGGAATCCGTGACCTTTAGCTTTCAAAATCCAAAGAAAATGGCATTTCGGCCCCCAAAAGATTACGAAAATGTCATCCAAAATAATTGGGCCAAACCTGTGCTTAATGCACTTATCACCGTGGAGAAGAGGATCAATAGACTTCATTATCGGTGGAGAATAGTCTCTGCCTTATTCCGTTATCTGTAGCCTCTAGAATAGAAAAAAATGGCATTTCGGAAAAATCACCTGAAATCTGTGATGGTACCCCTTTGGAATATGCCAAAAGTTGACCCGGAATAAATTCACCCAAATCAGTACTTAATGGACTTAATCATCGTTGAAGAATAGCCTTAGTCTGAATGAATGACCTGTAGCCTTCAAAATCAAAAGAAAATGGATTTTCGTCGCCCAAAAAATTATGAAAATGTCATCCGAAAATAAATTCGCCCTAACCGGTGCTTAATCCTCTTATCATTCATGGAGAATATGATCAATAGACTTCATTATCAGTGGAGAATAGCCTCGGTCTAATTCCGTGATATGTAACCTCCGGATTCGAAAGAGAATGTCATTTAGGAAAAATCGCCCAAAATTTGTGATATTACCACTTTGGAATCTGCCAAAAATT